GGGGGCCCCGCGCCCGGCGCCTGGCGAGCAGCGCTGGCCCGCCCCACCCCTTCCCCCCTCCAGGGCCTTCACCTCACCACCCTCCCGGCCGTTCCTCAGCACGAAACCTCCGGCGTCTTCTTGCCCGACGCCTTCAGCGGGGCAACTCCCGGGCAGGCCTTTGGCTTCAAGCCAGATTATGGGTCGCAGGGCGGGATCGTGGAGCCCTATCCCGGCGGGGGCGAGGTTTCTCACAGCTGGTACCCCTTTCCGGCTGGGGGGGAGGCCTGGAACCCCCCTCCTGGGGTCGTGATGGGGCCTTACGCGGTCCCTCAGCCCGGGGAAGCCTGCCAGGGATCCAAGCCTGACATCAAAGTGGAGCGTGACTTCGACCAGCCGGGCCCCTATTACGGAGGAGGGCAGCCTTGGGCAGGAGCGTGCCTGGTCCCTCCCGCCGCGGCCCGGCCTGCCTCTTGCAGCAGCACCAAGGAGGCCGCTTCCCCCAGTCCGGACCCCCAGCCCTCCAGCAGCCCCGCCAGCCAGGTGGAGGAGGCGGACAGCGCCGACAGCAGTCCCCGGAGCGATGCCAGTCAGAGCCCCAGCGAGCAGATGGCCTCCGAAGAGGTGAAGGAAGAAGCGGCCAGCGGAGATGAGGTAGGCACGGGCTGACCCAGGCTGGGGCATGCACTGGGCCAACCGAGGGAGGCTTCGCTTGGGCCTTCTCCGAGCAGGGCGAGCTTGTTCTCCACCGTCCTCGCCAGTTTTTAAGAGTTGGTCAACTCCCCTACAGGCTGCCGAGTTGCTTCTAAAACTCCTCCTGCCTCCTCAAGATGAGAAGGCCATTCTAGCGGTTCCTCTTTTTTTTTTTTTTTTATGCATCTTGCCTGCCACGAAAAGGATGCTCTTCCTCTTCAGCCACGGATTTGCAGAAGGCCATTCTAGCGGTTCCTCTTTTTTTTTTTTTTTTATGCATCTTGCCTGCCACGAAAAGGATGCTCTTCCTCTTCAGCCACGGATTTGCAGAAGGCCATTCTAGCGGTTCCTCTTTTTTTTTTTTTTTTATGCATCTTGCCTGCCACGAAAAGGATGCTCTTCCTCTTCAGCCACGGATTTGCGCTCGTGAGGAAGCGCCTCCTTTTCACATTCATGTAACAATCCTGGGTCTGATCTGCTCATTTGAGCATAGTCCTACTGTTTCTGGTTTTGGGGACTGCTAGGCAAATGCTCTCTAGGATGGAGTAGGGAGCTAACAAAATATTGAGGAATTGTATTCAGCGCGCTGGGACGTAATATTAAGTTGCTTGCTTGTGGGTGTGCGTTATTGTTGCTGGACAGGATAAAATGAGATAAGCCATGATCTCTGTTTCCCTTGATAAGAAGGGATGGATTTCCCAGCGGGTAAAAAATGTGCTGAGGATGGAGTCCATGAAGTCTCTGGAAGATCTGCAGCCAGGACTTTAGATCCCAACTCAGCATCATGTACTAGGAGATAATGCTGTGAAGTGCCACCATTTCATCATTGCAAAGAACATCTCTTTTCCTGATGTTGCTTCTTTCTGTCATAGTTTAATAAGAGTCTAAGTGTATATTGAAACATAAACCAGCTTTCTGTGGTTGGGTTTGCAAGCTGAATCACAAACTAGCCAACCCTGTCTTTGCCTGTTGTATTGTGTGAACAGAGACTTTATGATTAGTTTGTAGCTCAGTGACCATCTTCGCACAACTCTAAATCTGGTTACTTAATTAAACCTAGTCTGGGCTTCACACAAGACACTGAATCTTAAACTAACCAGTTTTGCTGGTTATGCATAACATATTAAACCCCAAATTTCTAACTGAGTTTAATACTAACCAAGTATGGTATCTGTGTTTGGAAGTTATAGTGCTGTAAGATGTTTTTAGAATGGACTTGTGCAGATCTGTATTTTCTGTATTTCATTTTTTTTTTTTCAATTCCACACCCAACCCTGTTGGCTGGCTGGCTAGATAGATAGATAACGGATAGGTGGGTATTCTGGGATTTGAAAAAAAAAATGAAATTGAAGAAAAACGATGATTCAGGTTCATGTTTTATACACTGGAAGCAGACTGTAGTGCATGAAAGGTCATGCCACAATACATGATTGCTTTAAGGTGCCCTGAAGTAGAAGCAGGCAGAGATTATGAGAGTTGTGACCACAAATCAGAGGATCAGGTTGAGAAAGGTTACTTTAGTTTCCTCCTAAGATAGGCTGATCTGTTTCTTTACAGACTTGAACCTTTGGAGATAAACCTCTAAATCTGCCTCTTTCTTCTAAAAGTAATTATGTAGCAAAGCTGTGTCAGATTACATCCATCAACTCAAGCATCTTTTGCCAGAGTAGCTAAGAAGGGAGTAAAGCTAACAGCTTCCCCTTTTTCCCCATTCAAGAACTAGTATTCAGATATACTGCTCTGCAATCAGGAGGGTCAACTTGGCGATTCTAGCTAATTAGTGCATCCACTTCCAGAATGTGTTGAATGTTATAAGCAGCTTTGAGATTTTTAATGGGAAGCAGCATATAAATATGTTAAATAAGATCCATAAAATCACCTGCCCCTCCCAATTTGTTTAAAGTCACCTAGTTCAACAGCTGCTGTTACAAATTGTCCTGGCAACTTCTAAAATTGATTATGAATAGTGTCAAGAGATAGAACTATGATTGACAGAGCTTATAAACTTCTGAACAAGTTAGAGAAAATATTTTTCTTATAAACTTTTCAATTGGAAATTAATTTTTAATTTGCACTGTAGTTTTAACTTTTTGGCTTAATTTAACCTTTTGTAGTCTTAACACACACACACACAAAATATGATTTTATAGTTTTTATCTGTAATGCTGCCTAGAGTCACTTGTATAGTGAGACGGGCAGCATATATTAATTTGAAAAAATAAATAAAATAAACTTCTGAAGAAAATATTTTTCTCTCTCACCCCTAATGGGCAGAACTCTGGATTTCTGATGGAACTGAGGGCCAACTTCCCTTTTAAACTAAAAAGCTCATTTAAGATTTCCTCCCAGCAAAGATGCTCCATTGGCTTGGATTTCTTGATGATTTGCTTGCTCTTTTGTGTCACAGCTCTTGATCAGTTTTACTCAGTCATTATTAACTGAATTCACTCATTGCATTAATATTTGATCAGTACATAAACAATATAGCAATCTGTACTTGGTTGGGTTTGCCTAACTTGGTAAGTTAAAAATCACATTTTGACATAGTGATGCACAAACCCAATGTTTCTGTGTACTTGGCCACCCGTGGTGCTGTGCGCAAAGTGACCTTTCTGTGTACTTGGTCACACTTTACACTGTGTACTGGGTGTAAATTAATGAGCCACAGCTCTTAATTTGTTCCTGAAATTCAGAGACCACAGCAAGTGGTGTTTTTTCCAAGCAGACTGAGGATTTTTTTTAGCTTTTACCGTGTTCTACTTCTGCATATCAGCAGTGGGAGAAATCTCTTCCATGCTAACACACGAGATCCCATCAGTGTTCCCCAGCTTGGTGCCCTCCTGGCTGGGAATTATGGGAAGTTTTGACATGACTGCAAATTGTTCGTAGTTTATTATATGTGTATTGCAAAGCAAGGGATGAAATACATGTCGGTTTTCTGTCAAACTAGCAATACTGTACAACAATGTTGTTACATGGCGATACTGCTTTTGGAATACAGTAGTGTGTATAGGTTTTTTTAGATTTATTTATCCCACCTTTATAATTTTTATAAATAACTCAAGGCAGTGAACATACCTAATACTCCTCCATCATCCTATTTTCCCCACAACAACAACCCTGTGAGGTGGGTTAGGCTGGGAGCGAGGGACTGGCCCAAAGTCACCCAGCTGGATCTGGTTACCACACCCCAAAAGGTTATTGTGGAGCTAGAAAGAGTGCAGAAAAGGGTGCCAAAATAAAGAGGAGGTTAGAAAGGCTTTCCTGTGAGGGTTTTTTTTAGGCTGAAGATGATACATGATAGTATTATGTAAAAATCAATGCATGGCATAGAAAATGTAGATAAAGAGAAGGGATTTTCCCCTTCTTCCAGTATTAGAATTCTGTGTCATCCATTGAAACCAAATATTTGGTGATTTGGGATCAATAAATGGGATAATTTTTTTATACCATGCATGGATAAAACTATGAAATTCACAGCCATTAGGTGGTGATGGCCCTCAGTGTAGATTGTTTTAGAAGAGGATTGGAAAAATCCATGGAAGGCAGGATAATCAACAGCTGTTGGTCTTCCGGGCCGTTTGCTATTCTGAAATGCCAGTTGCTGGGGGGCAACAGCCTGGGGGGGCTCTCACCCTCCTATTCATGTTTCTGTGCTTTTTTGAATGTGTATGACTACCTACTGTGAGGTGCAGAGTGCTGGACTAGATCAGCCCTTGGCCTGATCAAGTAGAAGTCTTCTGAAGTTCTCAGTCCTTGGGGACCATTAATCAAGAAACTCGCTGCTCTCAAAGATGATGCCCAGAGAAAACAATTGTGCAGTATTTCTTTAAAATGGATCAAGTTTCCAGAGAGAGGAAGCAACCAGATCCCTCCCCATCCCCCACCCCAAGATCTACAGGGGGAATCCAACTTGAATTTCTGGGCAGATACTAGAAGAGCTGATAGTCAATTTTCAAGCAACTTGCTAATGATAGAAAAACTGGAAGGAGCCAATATTGGCCTGTCGGGTATCAATCTTGCCAGACCTCTTTCTGTAATCAGATTACTATTTGCTGCAGAACCAGGCAGAAGACCAGTCTTCTCACATCCACTGAATTTTGCTTGAATACAAGATCTAATCAAAGTCAGGCATCAAAATATACCCTTAGGCATCAAAATATACCCTTAAAGTGAAAGTTTATAAATATTTGAGAAGTAATGCTTATTCATCTAGGTAAAATAAACCCCAAACTACCAGGAGATCCCAACCTATGAGTCCATTTCTGACTTGATGTATTTTGGGAATGTAAAGGTGTACTTTTTAAAAATGCAGCACAAATGTTTGACAATGAGAATATGTCTCCCCACTGCCCCCTATGCATTGGTTAGCCAGTTGGGTAGATGTGTCTTTGATGATGATAGAATAAGGTGGATTTACTGGGTTCTACATCAGATCTGAGCTAGATTTTGAGTGAGAAACTTAGGTGCTCTGAATGAAAGTACTATTCAGTGTTTCTACCAATTATTTAAGTTACTCTTCCTCAATCTGGCTATCTAGGTGTTTTGGAGTAGTTTCTTTTCACCCATGATCACTGGGTGAGGTGATGAGAGTTGTAATTCAAAACATGTGTTGGAGAAGGGTGAGTTAGATGATTCTCAAAAACCAAACTTGGCCTGCTAAATATAGTTCAGAACACTAGAATGCTGTTGTGTTTTTGCTAAAATAAAAAACAATTAAAAAATGAAGTTCAGCAGATAAAAGTTCAAAATACTGTATTTAGCAAAATTAATCAAATGCGCAGGGATGGGGTGAAGGATACTTGTAAATAGTTTATAGGAAAAATATTGGGATTGTTATTAAGCTAAATGTGGATCAGCTAACTACATTATCTACAGCTAACTACAATTATCTAACTACAGAAAAGGCTAATGTCTAACTATAAAAAAGGTTGCTTTAAGGATACTATAATTTTTAAATC